TCTCTTTCTCTTCCTCTCTCCATCATTCAGGTAAATAGCTACCTTCTTCATTCCAGAACATCCTAGCATTCAACTATGTTTGCAGAAGCATTGCCTGACCTGCATCTCCTCCTTCACAGTCTTATTGGCACCCCTAGTCCCTGGTATTTTGTCCTTTTTATCTCTATTGTCAGCCATAGCAACCAATGCCATGACATGGATCAAAAAACATTTTCTTAGTTGGCACTGATAAGCATTGATCTCACAGGTTTACAAAGAATAATGTAAATGGATACGAATGTAATTAAGCTTCAGAAATAAAATTGAATATTAATAACATCAATCTTGTTTTCAAGATGGACCTTCCATGGCAGAAAAAGGAGGTTTATTTTCTTTGGAGATCCTTAATGAGAAACAGCATTCTTTTACACCCCAGAATATTAAGCAAAACACCAAGCAGTAGCATATGCTTTATCTTTACATAGTTAAAATCAGCATTCACTTTTTCTAACCAAATGCATTCTTTTTTTACTTAAAAGAGGAGAGGGAGTGATGAGCTTACTCTCATATTCCTTACTTTTCCAGCTCATCCTCAGGCCAACATGTTTGGTAGGTTAGGCCTCCACTAGAAAAAGATCAGGATCATAATTGTGTTTTTCTCTTTGTAGACAATTAGCAGAACTGAAGCATATCTAAAAGTTTAAAAATAAGCAACCCTCACTTTACCTATACACAAAGGACCTCTTAATTGGAACTAATGAAGAACAGAAGAAAAAGCAATAGCACAATATCAGGGAAAGGTAGAAGGGAAGGAAGCATTCCTCCTCAGATATTTAATATTTTAATTGGTTATCTGGAAGAAATGTGAAACTGTATGTCATGAGTCTGATCCTAGCCTTATTAAAGTCGGTGGCAAAAAGCCCAGTGAGTTCAGTGGGGCCAGGATTAAGTCCTAATTGAATTAAGAAGTGACTTCAGATGGAAGAAGTTACCTTTTCCCCTCCATCTTCCCATGCTGGGAGAAAGAAATAACAAAAATTTATTGAAATCTGTCACAGAGGTAGGTAATTGAGTTTGTTCTGACCTGGATCAAAGGAAATAAATACTCATGAGGAAAGTAACTTTTAGTGCAAGTTCATTAAATTAACAGTGCTAGACACTGAAGTTTCCACTAGCAATGCTGACTGCCTTACTAAAGTGACTAAAACCTGCCCTAAGGAAAAACTTGCTGAGAAGGAAGCTCTATCTAAACACAATAAATGTTGAACCCCTCTTTGAAAAAAATATGGAGAATTAGCTGCACATCCTCCCATGATTACAAGCTCCTTGGCCAGGCAACCACTTGCAGTAAGTTCACATATGAAGGAGACGCCCAAAGAAATCTTCACTCCCCCCTTACTAGAGGGAAGAGGAGTTACCAGTTAAAGACCTTCCTTCCCCTTTCCCAACAGAAGGGTAGCAGGACTTTGGGTCTCCTTCCTCCAGCTGCCACTGGTGACTGTCACCTCCCTGACCTTAGTCAGCTGCGAGACTGAGCTGGGGGAAGAAAAGAGATTTCGCTCTCTAAGGCGCGTGTTAGGTAACAGCTCCTCTTAGATGTCTTCAGTAAGGATTTTCTTCCAGAGTTCAGAACTAGGAGCTTCCTAATTCTACAGAAAAACATGAAAAGATCAAGATAATATCAAGCCCCCCCCCCACCTCAACTAGAAGATTTCATATATTGTTATCTAAAACTAGGAATTCAAGTAACTTACGGAAATCCTGAATTATTCTAAATTATTCTAATTATTCTAAACTAATTTACTATTTAACTAGCTATTCTTGCATAATCCCTTGCTAAATTACTCCCATGGGAGCTATCCCTCTTTCTAT